GGCATGTTCTGCTTTCAAAACAAATATGTATTAAGTATGCTTTGTCATATTCTCTTCGCTACCAGTCTGCCTATGTCTGTCTGTCTGTCTGTCTATCTGGAGTTTTTGTTTTTATGCGTGTTCTTGTTAATATGTGCACATTTGAGTTTGTGCACATCTATGTGTGTGTGTGCATTTTTCCTTGTTTTTCAATGAATGAATTAGTGAACGAATGAATGAACGAATGGATGAGTGAATGAATGAATGAACGAATGAATGTATGAATGAATGAATGAACAAATTTCATGAATGGATACAAAAATATTTGCCACTGTGTACAATGTCTTTATCATATATAATTAGTACATACCATAAAATGATCTCTACTTATATACGTATATATATATATTATATGAATATTATATATATATATATATTATATATATATATATTCATATATATTTATATATAATGCATTAGCAATCAAGTCATCAAAAAATTTATTTTTTTTTTTGTTCTATATTGTCGGATAATTTTTTCTAGTTCTTTGGTCTTTCCTTTGATTTTTTTTTGACAATTATTTACTAGTTGAACATACGTACGTATATACACACATACACTCATACATACATATACATACATACATATACATACATACACACATACATACATATATACATTCAAACAAACAAGTAAACAAACTACATATACGTTACATTCCTTGATTTTTGTAATCTCTCTCTTTCTCTCTCTCTCTCTCTCTCTCTCTCTATATATATATATATATATATATATATATATATATATATGTATATATATATATATATATATATATATCTCTGAGATTAGCTAGTTATTGTGCGTGTGTATAGTTTGGATTCGATTTTAATATACTAGAATGCCATAGATGTCGCTACGAACAATTTGATGACGTAATGATGAATGGGCGCAATTTTTCTTTCTTTTTTTTGGCGCGGCATATTCATCATTCATTCTCTATCGCGATTTTACATTTTCATTATTGAATTAGTCACTCTCTCTCTTCTCTCTCTCTCTCTCTCTCTCTCTCTCTCTCTCTCTCTCTCTCTCTCTCTGCTTTTTGAAAATTGGTTGTTGTTGCTTTTTTCATATTTTGATAGCAATAATAATAGTTAGCGTCTTTGTCATATTATATATATAAATATATATATAATATTATTATTTTTCTTTATATTACAATTTCATCTCGATATCTTGAAATGATTTATTTTTCCATATTTTATATGCAATCTCGTGCTGAATTTAGTAGAACTCAAAGATAATAAATAGAGATTTTTAATTTTTTTAAATAAATATTTCCTTTAATTTTTGATTATGAAGCGCTACATGTTTGTTGATTTTATTATTGTTATCAACTGCTAATTATGTCTTTTTTTATAACTGTCACTGCCGTTACTGTAATAACTAAGAACATAAAATAGCTTACGTATATGTATCACAAGTCAATGCAATTGTTTGTTTGTGTATGTGTGTGTGTGTATGTGTGGGTGTACGCTTGTGTACCTACCTATACATGTTTTATGTTAATTACCTTACCTAGCTCTCTATCTCCATCACAACACAACGTTTATGGAGCCTTTCCATGCGTTGATTCATCAGGTCCAGTTATAATCAGCTAATTATTGTAATTAAGTGATTAATATTCATGAGCTAATTAGTATTCGTCTGTTAGTTAATGTTAATTTAGTTTATTTGTTTAACTAATCGTTCGTTCTATTTTATTTATAATGCATTCCATTAATTTTGCCATTTTGTGAGATTAATTAGATTTAAATAATTAATTTATATATATATATATATATATATATAATTAATATGTGTAGAAATATAATTAAATGTTGATCATGTAAAAGTATCGTGCAGTTAGGCGAATACTTAATTAATTAATTAATTAATTTATTAATTAATTCAATTCAGGAATAATGATTCGTTAGGAATTCATCTAGATATTATCATCTTTTTTTCTTACAATCCAGAAACGATTCTACTAAACTAATAATTATTCTTTAGGGAGAGGGGTGGGCAAACTACGGCCCTCGAAGCTATTTTATGCGGCCCACGAGGTCTTGTTCGCCAAAAAAAGGTCGTCGGCCGGACATTATGACCAAAAAAGGAGCCACAAATCTTAAAAATTCTCCCCCGGGTCGAAAAAGTTTGCAATTTAAGTACATATGCGGCCCTTCAAAGGTCAAATAGTTCTCAATGCGGCCCTCAGCAAAAAATTTGCCGACCCCTTCTCTAGGACACAGTCATAGCCATATTAGAGGGTGTTGTTTCAATATTTTTCTAAACGTTTACTTTAATTAGCTAATTAGGTAGTTAATTAATTGATTAATTAATTTATTGTTATTGAATAAATATGATAAATATGACGTCACCGGTTTATTTTATTATATAATCATGTTTATTATTTAAATATATATATATAATTATTTTTATTGTTTGAGCACGTCAAAATCTTTTTATTCTTATCACTCGTCACGATCTCTCTCTCTCTCTCACTCTTTCTCACTCTCTTTCTCTTCGTACCCAAACTTTTCAATCTTCTTTTCCTTTCAAAGGTACTAATTGTTATAATCAGAATTTGTCAAATTTTGAAATTTTTCTTGTCGTTACATTAAAAAAATGTTTTCCTCTGCTGTTTTCCGTCCTGTCGTCTTTTGATTTTTAAATAATTATTAAAGTTTCAACAAAACAGATATTATTATGTTAATACTAAGGCATACAAGCGTACACACACACACACACACACACACACACACACACACACACACACACACACACACTTAACAATACATCCATGAATACGTAGACACATAAATACATAAGGCCATTACAAACATACATATGCACTGAACGTATTGCACAATTAACCGGTACGAAAGCTACTTCTTCCAAACTTAAAACTGGCTTCTGCCTGTTGTGAAGATAAAATGTCTGTGTACGTGCAACGTATGGGTGTGTGTCTGTATGTGTGTGTGTATGTGCGAGAAATTTTGCAGCAGTCTACCGATTTTGGTCATCGCCGCTAAATTATCTCCTGATCATTTCACGATATCGTCCGAGCTCAACCACCCGTTCATTCAAACAAGTGACTGAGCCAATGAGATGCGAAATAAAATTTAAAAATGTCAAGGCCGCCCTTCTGATTGTGTTGTTACTGTACATCAGGAGTGGGCAAACTTTTTGCTGTGAGGGCCGCATTGAGAACAATTTTATTTTTGAAGGGCTGCATATGTACTTAAATAGCAAATTTTTTCGACCCGGGGAGAATTTTTTAAGATTTGTGGCTCCTTTTTTTGGTCATAATGTCTGGTTGACGACCTTTTATTAAGCGAGCAAGGTCACGCGGGCGGGCCACATAAAATAGCTTTGTGGGCCGCATGTGGCCCGCGGGCCGTAGTTTGCCCACCCCTGCTGTACATGATACTATACGCGTAACGTTATTGATAGCGAGAGAACATTAACACTTAATAATCAGTTTAACGCATATTCCTTTTATCAAATGTACATGCTTTACCTACATGATGATTGAGAACGATCATGAATTCATAATTTTGGTCTACCTTATCATCATCATCATCATCATCGTCCTTCTTAATCATCCATAAAATCGTTATCAGTATCCGTATCAGTATCACTACCACCATTTATATTGCTATCATTGTTTGTTATCATTCATAATATATATTACATTAATATATTAGCACATAACAGGGGCAATGAGATTTATCTACCTAATAAATTAATAGCTTTAATAATTAAATAGAAAATAATAATAAATTAATTTAATAATTAATTTAATTTTTAATTTAATTAATAATTAATTTAATAATAGCTTTATGTACGCTTTGTTGGCAATACCCTTGTTCCAGCAGAAACTTTGTTTAGCATAGCCAGCCATATAAGTATTGGAAGCTGAATACCTAGTAGTTCTGCCTACAACATTCCTACTTTACATTACGTGCAATATCTGAACCATACTGGAACAGGATGAAGAGATTTTAATTTTTAATACGAAATTTTCGCACTAAGACAAGAGGCTATAAAATGTGAAGAAAAACTTTTATTATAATAGTAATAATAATAAATATTCTTATAATTATTTTCATGATGATTAGCCGTGACGTTATACAATTTAATTATGGAAGGTGTGAAGCGAGAAGAATCTTATCAAAATAATAATGACATTCTTCTATGATTTTATTCCATCATAAATATAAAGTAGAAAAATAATACGTCAATACATCATTTTCATAGGTTCAATAATAAATCATTATATCGTGTTATCATCATCGTCGTCATCGTTATCACTATTACAATTATTTACTGATAAGTATTATTAAAAATACTATTATTTATTATTACTTTTATAATTACACCATAAATCAATTGATAAATCACAATAATTTTTGTAATTTTTTGATGTGCATACACATATTCATAAAACTTATAAATGGGTGGGGATGCTATGAAATGAATAAATGAACAAATGATACATATACATATATATGTATATATATATACATATATATATACACGGTATTGTATGAATTCTACCGAATTGATCGCATTAATCAATTTAGAGTTTGTCTTTTCAATATTCTTTCCTAGATTGTTATCAAAATTCATCACTCAGATAGACCGTATTTCGATTTAGCAAAGTTTTTACTTAGTTGGTGTCGTATTCTTCATCTTTGTTCTTGTCATTTCTCTGTGCTTCATTGTTATTTGGATGACAACAGTTTTTTTTAAATTTAAATAATGAATTTGGATAATAATTCTATTTTCAATAAATTGAACAACTTCTATTATCAATAAATTGAAAATACAAACTTTAAACTAATTAATGCCAACAATTCATTAGAATTCATACAATACCGTATAAAATACGGTCTCCTTCCAACATATATACATTTACTATACCATATATACAAATTCATGATTCAAACGTTAATATAATAATATTTTAATATTTGGGGTATCTAATTAAGCTAAAGGGTAGGCGTTATGAATAAAACATTAATCACATACATATTTATATAAGAGAGAAGAGAAAGAGAGAGAGAGAGAGAGAGAGAGAGAGAGAGAGAGAGAGAGAAGGTGATAATAAATTTATTACATTCTAAATGAAAAACAAATGAAAAGTTAATTAATTCGTACATAGACATCTACATACGTATGTACAAAAACATTAATCAAAAATGAGTAAAATAATAAAATTATTATTATTATTATTAATATAAAAATTATTCTAAATCAAGCTGGACACCTAGGAAAATAAAAAAAAAAACTCTACACATAAAACATGATGACGACATAATCAACGCGACACATTTGCAAGGATGACGTCATTATACTTACAATAAAAAAAAAACCAATCGCAAAACGACTATTTAAAGTTTTTTTTTTTGAAAAATAAATTCAAGACTAAAAAAATAAAACATTTTCAAAAATAACAAAACCGAAAAAGATAATTCATTAAAAACATACCTAAAACATATTACAAAAAAAAGCTACGCAAAAAAAGAGGACTAATTCAAGACAACTTTAACAACGTCATCGTAATTCTCGCCGAACCTAAGACACCTATGCATCAAAGAGCGTTTGTAGGCTTCGATTAAGGGCCTCCTAGCATTGGCCCTTCGTACCGCCGAGATTTTGTCCCTATCCAGTCCAGAGTCCACTCCCAGCGGGTCCAGTTTTGACCTGGTCACCCACTGCCTGTTGTTATAATTATAGGCCAAAAGTTAATTATGATTAATTAACATGATTAATTATTATTATATTATTGTTATTAATTAGTCATTCGTATATATTATAGGGTAAAAATCAATTATGATACGTATGTATTGGGATGTTTTATAGTATTTTTACTTTACTTCATTGACGCGAAATTAGAGCTATTAGAAATAAATAAACAAGTGAGTAATAATAATAATAATTAACTTTGATTGTTTCATTTAAATTAATTTTTAAAAAGAAAAAAATAAACAAATAAATCTAACCAGGTCCTCTTGTTATCATAGAAGCAGACGAGAAACTTCCCACTGTTCATTTTATCATTCACTCTCACGACATCATCAGAGGGCACAGGAATTATATTATTGTAATTATTATTGTTGTTGTTGTTATTATTACTGTTGTTATTATTGTTGATGTTATTTCTCAGAGAATTACCCCTCCTGACGCTATGGAGAGTTAGGCTGTCGTTGTGCATCAATCTCGGATCCACAATCTGAATAATGACGACCGTTACCATGGTGATAAGAACATCAGTAATAATAATAATAATAATAATAATAATGGTGGGAACATTCTTTTATTGACCGAAAAGATAAAATCCAAATGAAATCAATCGAAAATTAATAATTACATCATCAGAGTGTAAATAAGATGAGATGTGAAATATAATGTACGACCCTCTTATGCTCTCTGATCAACAAATGTTTGAGAGTAAAAAATAATAATAACAATAATGATAATAATAATAATGATGATGCTAACAATGGCAGGGTAAGATGGCGAGTTATTCCACTGAGCCCAAACAAAATCACCATGACACAAAGGGATAAGATCGTCGTCACCGTTCTCATCATCATCTTCACGATTATTATTATTACTATTATTACTGACATTTTTATTATTATTTTTATTGTTATCGTTATTGTTATTATTTTTCTTGGGCTGGTTAGAATTATTAGTAGAGGTATTATTTATATTAGCGATACTTTTGTCCCCAGCAATTTTATTTTCATTATTTACGGCATTGTTGCTGCCATTATTATTATTATTATTATTATTATTATTGATTTTATTATTCATCTTATTATTATTATTATTCGTCGTACTAATTGACCGAGAGGCTAGACAACTGTTCCTCGTTGAAACTTTTCAAGGGTAAATAATTTTTTAATTGAATTCGAAAATTAGAAAAAAATAGCGAAAATTTTAATTTTAATTATTTTAAATAATATATAATAAAAATATATATATATATATATATGTATAATATATCCAAGATAGCAATAGCAATATGTGTAGTTTACCTCTGCCATTGTTAGATGACTTTGAAAATTTTTTAATTATTTTATTACTTAAAATCACTTTTTGTTTTTTAGAGTCAATTTTATTATTAACCACTAAATCTGATTTTCTTTTGAAAGATTTGGATTGGTTATTTTCAAAATTCGAGTTTTTAGAAGTCATTTTATTGGATGAAGTTTTCTTTCTTGTGCTTGTGCTCGGCCAATCAGTTGTTGAATCACAAGCTTCAACTGTCTTTGATTGGTTAGCAGTTTGAGAGCTGGCATTTGATTGGCTGTTGACATTTTGAGTGGAGATATGTAAGTTTGGAAGGCTGGATGTTTGGTTGGAGTTTTCTGATTGGACGTTATTACATATTGACGAATTTGATTGGTCAAATTCAGCAGCATCGGCCAATAATATAAGGTTATCAGAAACGTTTTTTGGCGGTAGTTTATTGTGTGCGTGATGCTGATGCTTAAGATTTGATGTCGTATTGTTTACCATGTTATTACCATCATCATTGTTGTTGCTGTTGTTGTTGTTGTAATCAACATTATTGTAAGTATCTGAAGTAGTAGAAGCAGTAGCAGTAGTTGTTGTAATCATATTATTTTGGTTTGATTTCAGTGTTTCATTTGCTAGGAGAATTGAACTGTCCATCAACTTGCCATTGTTGTTGTTGTTGCTGATGCTAATAATGTTTGTAATACCATTACTGTTGCTATTGATGTTATCATCCTTATTATTATTATTCTCATCATCATAGGCAGTTTTAGTCCTAGTAGTAACGGTAGTATTTGAAGAAATAATAGTAGTAGTAGTAGCAGTAGTAGTAGTAGTAGCAGTAGTAGTAGTAGTAGTATTTTTTAAAGAACCTTCTCTTTTTAATTTAATTTTCCTTTTTGCATTGACAATTTTGGCTATCTTCTCCTCTTCACCATTGAGGTCATCATCAGCGCCCATCAGTTTAAACTTCAACTCACAAATTCTCTCAAACAAATGAACCTTGGAAATATGATAATAATAATAATAATAAGAATAATAATAAGAATAAAAAGAACAATAATAATGATAATAATAATTATTATTATAAAAAACTTTTCAATCATTATCATCACCCTCATCTCCATTATCATTAATGTCAACACTAGCATCATCATCATCATCATCATCATCATCATCATCATCAATATCATCCTACCTGCTGTCTCTTTAGTTTCTCCCTCTTCTTAACTTGCTCATTCAGCAACCTCACCCTTTCCAACTCCTGCCTCAACCTTTTAATGTTCTTCAATCCCTTTAGTTCATTAAGTAGGGCACCGTTGTTGCTGTTGTCGTTGCTGCAGCAGCAGCTGCTGCTGCTGTTGTTGATGTCGTTGTTGACGGTGGTAGCCGTAGCGTTGAATTGTTGGCTGCATTCGTTAGAGCCACTGGTATTTTGCTTCTGGTAGAAAAGGAATGACGCAAATTCACATTATTAAATTCATAATTATCGAAATTCCGTTTCTGTTATCATTCGTTATAACCAACAATATCATCACCACCAATAACTAACCACCACAACACACAACAGTATCAACATTCAACAACAACAACAATAACAACAACAACAACAACAACAACAGTACTACAAGTAATCCTCACAACAACCAACACCCAGAAACTCTAGCACCAACACCAACAACAACGACAAACACCAACCTCATTCAACTTATCCAGACTATAGGAGTTGGCATGCACCAGCAAAGGCACTCCATCCACACTCTTCCTCTTCAGCAGCCAGTAGTTCTTCACCCTCACCAACACATCATCATCCTTACTCAACCTCAATGATGGCTTGTCACTGTATATCAACTTTGACACTGCTGTCTTCAGCCTCGACAAGCTGGTCAGGGATGGAGATTTAGGATTAAGATTGAAAAATTGGATATCTTTTTATCATCAGAAGTTACAAAATTGGATGTAAATAATTTTCTTTTTATCATCAGGAGTTATGAAATTATAAAAATTTGTAAACAATTTAGTCTATTCATTACAACTTGATTTATTCCTCACTAAGCTTAACAGCAGGAAAGCAATATTAACCAAATAATACTTCATAAAAATGTCAAATATATTGAAAATCCTGTTTGAAATAATGTACCATACCAGTGTATGAAAAACAGTACAATACAACGTAATTACCAGTGCATGGTAACGAATGGCAAGTGTAAAGATAGAATATAGGTACTATCACAAACAACCATTAAAAATATACAGGTAAAAACATGACATAAGAAACAACAATAACAACTTTAAGCGAACCACAACAACACGAACAAACAACAACACAAACAAACAACTACATAAGCAAACAACGACATAAGCAAACAACACAAACAGATAACAGCACAAACAACAACAACCAGGGCTTACCACTTATCAGTAATACTAGGAAATGACAGAATGGGCAGTTCCTCTCTCCCTTCCATCACCATCTTTCTCGCCTTCCTTATTCTAGATTTCATTGGCCCAGATGTGGACAAAACACTGACATTTCTATCTAAAACACTCTTGCAACTTTTGTCACTCTGATGAGATTTCGGTGTATGCATATCACAATAGGCAGTCTTTTTGTAACTAACTTGAAGGTTAGTAGCAGCTGATAGCAGACCATCTCTATCGAGCACATCCCTAGAAATCAGTGACGTACAAGAAGAGGGGGGTGGTGAGGATAATGAAGCGGTGTGTGAAGCTATGGGCTCGATTTTCATGTAGTAGTTGGCTTTCTGGGCACAGGTGACGTGGAAAGCATTGTAGCAGCTGGATTTGTGGCACTGTATGCATGCACCTGATGACTTCCGCTTGCATATCTGACAGGTTAACTTCCATCTGAGAGGGTGAATATGTAGATGAAAATTTGGTACGTAGAAGCGAAAATTTTAAATTGAATTTGGCTAGGATCAGTTTTTATTTAACGAAGAATTCTCCTAATGTTCTCCTAAAGAATTCAAGTGACTGAATAACTTCAGATGATTACAACACAGGAGAATATTCCCTTCTAGATAGATAGATAGAGTGAATAATAATAAACTATTATGAAAGCCAAACATTGATAACAGAGATGACTGCAGTATAACAATTAACAGTAAATTCTAAAAACAATTAGCTTGATAATTATTACAGCTGAGATCCTAGTCTATCTCTCCTCTCTCTCCCCATTTATCCAATCCCAACCTAGCTTTTGATATCCTATCAATGCCATCAATGGGTTCCAGGAAGACGAGATTGGCAAACCCGGCGTCGGGGATCCAGAGGGCGCAAATGATGTGAGCCCACCTGCCGTCATCTGTCTGTTTCATGGCCCCCACTTTAGATGGGCACAAACAGCATGGCACTGAATTCGACGGAGAGATTAGGCATCGACGACACACCCATAGCCCATCTGGTATGTGGGGTACACCGTAGCATTCCTAAAATATTTATTCAAATTTAAATCTTCAAAAAATTAGAACAAAAAAATCTCAAAACAAAGAGATGCTTAAAACAAGATCAGACTTTTTAACACTTTTTTCATAAGTTTAAAGAAAAATTAGCAGAAAAATAACACCAGTGAACACTATTAAGAAATTTTTAAGCACAAATAAACACTTGAAAAATAAGACATTGACCTGATGGACAGCTATATTGCATAGATCACAGAACAGGATGACATTAGTGCTGATGCATTCACCATCATTACAGATGCAACAGACAGCATCCTCATCCTTTGTTGAGTTCAAATGCTGGCTGGGACTGTGTGGAGCAGATGAAATTTGTTTGAAGTAGCACTGCTGTTCAAATAAATCTATGGCATATTCAAGTAAATTGGGAGTTAGTTGGGGCAGATGTTTCTTCATTCTCTCTTTGTTTATTATACTCAACCAGGCTTTATCCTAGAATGTCAGGGAGGGAGAATAATTTGTAGAAAATATTTTGAAAAATTAATAAAAAAATTTATACAAACAAAAATAGATAGTTGTTTGCATGGCTTACCTGCTCATCCAGATCATACATGGATTTGAATTCTTTTCTATTTTCTGATGAAGCACAATCTGATCTCTTCGCATAATCATCAAGAATTTTAAATTTAGCTTCTGGTAGATTAGTAGCACCATGAGAATGTTCATCTGCATCATGTTGGTAGTGACTGTCTTCAAAATCATCATTACGATCTTTTCTGCTACTTATCATTTTTAAATTAGGCACTTTTGTTTCAAACTTACTGTCAATCTTTATAATTTGCATTGGCATTTTTGCATCCAGAGTTACTGTTTCACCTCCTAACTCAACTTCAAGCAGCTGATTATTAAAGTTACCACTTTTAAGGCCAGCTTCTCCTTTGTATTTCGACTTCGCATTTTTATTTCTCTTGCCGTTTTTAGTGAAGGGGCGGTTTAATTTGTTGCCCTCCATTTCGTGTTCGTTCAAATGTTGCTTGATGCCTGGCAGACTTCGGTAGAGTTTGTCGCAGCTCTTGATCGGACATTTATAAGGCGGTTTCGTGGCATTTAAATTTTCGCGATAGAAATCAAAGTCAAAATTCATTTCAGAATAACGCCTCCTAAAAATTACAATTTATTAATTTATCACATCTCCATTAAACGAACGGACGAATGTGCAAAAGAAGAAAAAAATTCAAACATTTTATAAATTATGTTGTTTATATTTACAAATTCGCCGAAAAATATTTTATAGCAGATAACATTTAAAGGCTCGGGCAATTCGACATCCTTAGCTTATTGCATGGGTTTTAATTTAACAAACATCTATTACAAAATATTTACTTGACTAAATATTTTTAAAACAATATAATTAAATCGAATTATATAATTTAAAATTATTGTTGTCAGTTTAAATGAAATTATTGCTTATTGTTTAGAAAACACAGTGGCTTACCGTTTGGTGAAGCCATAGGTTAGCTTCATGGATAGTTAGCTTACATAAGAAATTGCAATATTTTGATTAAAATTTACAAAAATAATATCAAATTACATAATTCACGGTTCATTAGTTGATTAGTTGATTGTTTGATTGGTTAGTTAAATAACTGATTGATTAATTATTCGGTCAGTTGATTCGATTCAGCGGTTGATTGATTCATTTGTTGATTGACTTGTTAATTGATTGTACAGTATCAAACGGTATCTTATTGAACTAAGTAGTATCATAAAATGAATGAAGATACTTTTTTCAAAAATTTTAAAAATTCTCAAATTGATTTCATTGCGATATCGATGATGATGATTGTGACTGACTAATTAAAAAACATCAAATAAAAATTATAAAATATGATGAGTAATTTGTTGCGAAATCGATGGAGGAAATGACGTCATGTTAACAGTAGTTATTTAACTGCATGGTAGTGAATTAGCCGGTATAAAGGTTATATTCGAGTCCTATCAAATAAATATAACCAAATTCATATGCTCGCAAAACTAAATAAAGAAATAGATAGATAGATAGAGAGATACATAGATATATATTGCTATTATACACTTATATTGTCATATTTATACATTCAAATCGTACAATTGTGTTAAGATGTTATCTTAAATTATTTTTAATTCTCTCAGAAAAATTTTAAGTGCGTGCGTACAGGCGTAAAATTCATTGCTGTTGTTTTATAATTGATTTATGTAATATCAAAAAGTTTCGAAGGATCATTCGTTAACGTCAATTTAGCTTGTTTAACATTGTTGTTGTTGTTATTTATGTTTAACGCTTCATTTTCTCATTTCTCATTTAATTTCATGCACATAAACATTCACACGTACATACATGACAATATTCACACATACATAAGCATACACATGATGTTGACAAAAAACACACCGGAGGAACCGACCTTGGAACCGATTTAAAAAAATTTTTATTTTATTTCATGCACACAAACATGCCCAAATAACCAAGCACATACATAATTACGGCTCGGCTTGGGATTTTATCGCCTTGGCTTGAGATGAGAGTCAAGCAGAGCCAAGCCGTTAACATCACCATGATAGTGAATTAGCCGCTATTAGCATTATATTAGATAGTTATATGTAGTCATTATATATATATTTATATATGTATATATATAAATATAAACATTTAAATTATGCAATTAATGTTAAGCAAGGTGTGGTCTCAAACTATTTTGAATTCCCTCCGAAAAATTTGAACTGCGTGGATACATATGTAGCACTGTTGTTACTGTTGTTTTTATGCAAAAAAGAGTGACTATATTTCAATCCTAGTAAACCAACGGAGAAATTAATAAATGATTCAACCGTTATATGGTCTAAAACTCCCATTTTAATTTTTTTAATGTTTTTTTTTATATTTTTAATAAGTTATTTGCATTCTATATGCGCGGGCTCTATAATATTTTTGTTGTTATATTGCTATCTGCGCCATATGCGAGCCAACAATTAAGTAACGTCATTTAAATTGCCAGTTATAGATCAGGATATAATTGAAACTTTGTTGAAATTTTCCGGAAAAGCAATATATTACGAAAATAAATAACAGTTATGAATTGAATGAGATCTGTACGAATAAAATGTAATAAGAACGAACTGGGAATACAATACATTGAAAAGAGATGAAATGAAATTATGAGATGATTCTTCTGCTACCAAACGACATTCCAGATTGGTTGGCTCCATCCGTTGTGCCATACTGCAGGTTGATAACTCCCTGTCCGGCTCTGTCGATGTCGTCAGCTCTGATGTCCGCAGCATGTCTGACACCTCCAAAAGTCATTCCTGATTGACTGGCCAATTTGTTAGTACCCGCCTGCAATCCAATGACCCCTTGACCTTCTTTATTCATATCATCAGCCCTGATATCTGCTACATGTCTAACGGAGCCGATTTTCATACCAGCTTGTGTAGCTCCCTTGTTTGATCCGGCTTGAAGACCGATGACTGCATGACTATCTTTAGACATATCGTCTGCCCTTATGTCGGCCGCATGTCTCACTCCACCGAATGTCATCCCTGCCTGGCTTGCTAACTTATTTGTTCCCGCTTGTAAACCAATAAACGCTTGACCGTCTTTTTGTAGATCGTCAGCCCTGATATCTGCCACGTGTCTAACACTGCCCATGCTCATTCCAGTTTGGCTGGCTCCCTTGTTAGAGCCAGCTTGAAGTCCAATAACGCCCTGACCCTCTTTCGACATGTCGTCAGCTCTTATATCGGCAACATGTCTCACTGCTCCAAAACTCATTCCTGCCTGGCTTGCCAGCTTGTTCGTTCCAGCTTGCAGTCCTATCACACCGTGACCTTCACGCGTCATGTCGTCGACCTTGATGTCCGACACGTGCCTGACTCCACCCATCGTCATTCCTGATTGGCTGGCAAGTTTGTTGGTTCCCGCCTGCAAACCAATGATGCTTTGGCCTGCCTTCAACTGTTCCTCGGTGAATTCTCTGATGTTCTTCTCTGTCGGTTTCGGTCCTATCGTTGGTCCGTCCATGTTGTGACGTTGTGCCTGTGTTACGTTGAAAATAAAAAAAGTTATTAAAAAGGATGTTATCGTCGATTTAATAATATTACAAAAGTGAGAAAAAGTAGAATTAGTTTAACTTCGACACCTCGCTACCGAGTTGTTGCAGGCAGTTGAGAACTTGAGGCATGTTCCTACCTTCGTACAAGTCCACCGTTTGAAACAAACCAGTTTTCGGAACGCCGTAGTTGGAGCAGAAGTTTATGAAGGTTTGAATGTTTTCCATCTGTTTGAATGGGGCGGTCAGAGTGTTCGCTTTGAGAACCATCTTCTTTGCTCTTTCTGGTGCGTTCGCTGTTCTACGTAAAACCTCTTTTGCCAGTCTGTTGAGATAATGAAAAAAATGTTCTTCTCTTAATAAAAATTTGTTTTTAAAATAAAAATACCAAATAAATTTAAAAAAATCTATCGAGTTTTATTAGCAAAATGTTTTATCAAGCAATTTAAATATTGTTAATAAAATTATTCTGGACATAAATTATATCCACCAGCTGAAAACAAGTATAAAATTAAATACTGTATACAAATACTAACTTGACGAGATGCTGTCCATCTTTCAATTGTTTCTCCATCTCCTTCATGCCAGGCTCCAACTCCAGACCCAACAACATCTTGAACCAGGATATGACATCTGCCTCTGCTCCAGCATCATATTTGCCGGACAGCTGCAAGAATAACCAATCAAAACGACCAATCACAAATGTTCATTTACCGACCAACCAATCACACATGTTCAATCGCAAACCATAAATATTCAATGCCAGTAAAAAGAGTTTATTCATTCATTCGAGAATACGTCGAACATAACTAATAGTTCTAAATTAATGAGTTAATTTTATTGAAATTTTTTTGAATCTGCCAAAAAAATTACCTTGCATCTTATTCCAGCCATGTCTCCTGCTGCTTCGGCTCTTGACATTTTGAACTGATAATATCAATTAAGCGTAATATTTGAAAAAAAAACGTTGATTTTATTTGAAAGAACTTAGCTTAAGTTAGCTAAATTAAAGTTTATCAAAACTTCGATAGTAAAATGCGAAAAAAACGTAAGATTCAGTGTAAATTTAAAATTTTTACTGGAAAAACTCCTCTAGTAGATTTAAAATAAACTAGGAATGACTATTTATAAATATCCGCAGTGCTTGCACGAGGAATTTAGATTTTGAACAAAGTATTTAGTAGCTTTATATACCAGCATGCTTACTGCAACGCAAGGAATTTCTGTAATGAACAACGATGAGAAAGATGATGATGACGACGAGTAGGATAATGATGATGATGGCGATGATGATGAAGAAGATGATAACGATGAGTAGGGTAATGATGATGATGGCTATGATGATGAAGATGATGATGAAGAGGATGATGACGACGTGTAGGATAATGATGATGATGGCGATGATGATGAAGATGATGATGAAGAGGATGATGACGATGAGTAGGATAATGATGATGATGGCGATGATGATGAAGATGATGATGAAGAGGATGATGACGATGAGTAGGATAATGATGATGATGGCGATGATGATGAAGATGATGATGAAGAGGATGATGACGACGAGTAGGATAATGATGATGATGGCAATGATGATGAAGATGATGATGGCGATGATGATGAAGATGATGATGAAGAGGATGATGACGACGAGTAGGATAATGATGATGATGGTGATGATGAAGATGATGATGAGTAGGGTAATGATGATGATGGCGATGATGATGAAGATGATGATGGCAATCGTAATAATTTTAATAATGAGGGTGAAGAAGATACAATGCAATGACTAAGTGAATAATTGAAAGGTGAGTGAAATAAAGAACGGAGATGACGATGATGTGATGACTATGACTAAATCTTTATATATATATATATATATATATATATATATATATATATATATATATATATATATATATGTTGGT